CGTGCATCACACACACACTGTACACATTCACACACACACACATTGGAACAGATAGTTTTGGGTAGAGATCGAAATGAGACAATGGTCCGATGAGCCCGGGGAGAGGGGGGGAGTCGTCACAACATTTGAAAATACTTTTGGAGTTGGATGTGAGGACACGATCGAGGGTATGGGCGTGGTCGCCAGCCAGTTGGGAAATCAACCAGTTTGTGGAGGCTGTTCAATAGAGCAAATGATTCTGCTTCACGTCCAATGGGTCATGTCCCTGAAGAGTGTAACAGTCAATCGCTGTTATGGGCTTCAACTATACTATCTATGTTGGCCGATAATACATCAAAGAGTGAACGGTCATTACTATTTGGGGAACGGTACATAGTGCAAAGGTAGCGATTGGAAGAAGAGACCCGATATTTCAGCCACAGATTCTGGAACTGACGGTTGGTGAGATTTAAGTGAGAGAACGGGGTAGAACCAATTGACTGATGAATGAAAGCACAAATACTAGCTATGGAGATGAACGCAGTGTGAAGAGAATAATTAGGAAACTGAAGATGTGTGGTGTCTGTGAAAGAGGAAAGTTCTATTTCGGATAAAAATAGAGCAAAACGGGAAGTGGACAGAAGAAATTGATTTACAGGATCAATAATATGGTTCAAGCCGTTAATGTTTGTGAGTGCGATTATGAATTTTCTAAAATGAATATTCAAGCCTAAAAAAATAATAAACCTACTTGCGCATAAGAACAATAGAGTTGATCTTAACTGACTACTGACAAGTACTGAGTAGCAATCAGTTTGCAAATACGCTACTCAAAGGTCGTTCAAATTATGTTTCTCCCATACTTGAAATCTTCACTAGCTGTCGTCATCAGTGATGATTCCAGTTCCGTTCACAATTCACCCTTGGATGGATTGATTTCATTGTTTCAACCATTAGAAGAGTATTCGGTTCCTCGTTCCAAATACGTCAGTCGATTCACCCAGTCACATATCTAATGCTTCGAAGTAGTTTAAAAATAGTACTTATTCACTTTTCACTGATTTCCTTTTATTCGCTAATCGGATACTTGGTTATTTCTTTTTGCATGCATGCACGCGTGCGTGCGTGTGTGAGCGAAGTATGTAATTTGTACTTCTTATCGCACCGTGTGCGTGTGTACGTTTGCGCTCACGCACTTGTGTGTGTGTGTGTGTGTGTGTGCGGCCACATGTCATCCTCCAACTGGCCATTGCGTGCCAACTGTGCACGTGATTCTTGCTTGGTGTGGCGGTGTGTGCGTGCTTACGTGCATGCGTGCGTGTCAGGGGGTGAACACAGGCCCGGGTGCAGACCCACACACACTGGTGATTGCGTACACGCATATCACGGTTGCGCCAATCCCTTTTGTGACGGGCTGCCAAGCTGAAATAAATACTGATAATAAATGGTTCGGCAATTGGCAATTTCTTTTCAAAAACACACTCGGAAGTAATTGATTTTGTGTGCGTGTGTGTGTGCGTGTGTGTGATACACCATCACCATTCAGGGGATCACCATCGGATGCTCACACGGTGCTTAAATGAGCCTTGATAACGCCACCTGTCATCCTCCCCAGTTCCCACTTCTTTGTGACTGATAATCCCAAACACTTGAGGGGGTTCTTATCCCAGTGTGTGTGTGTGTGTGTGTTGGTGGGTGTGGGTGTGAACTGGAACTGTCATAATCATGCATTCACAACGAAAAACCCAGCCGCAAACTCAAGCTCAGCACTGGACTGCATCATCACCGCATGACTCTCTGCACTCGAATCCCATGCAACGATCGAACTCACGGGCCAGCTCTGTACCAATCTATTCACGTGACACATTTGGCCAGGGTGGTACAACCTATTCGTCACACACCAATTCGCCACAGGCAAGCTGTACCTCGGAACTGAGCACAATCATCATAAATAATCACCTAAACGACGCTAAAAATCGAAGTCCGGTAAGATCAATTCCAATCCTGCGTTCTACGGAACATTTGTCATCAAAACCGTCCGTGGTCGGTGATCCAGGTTGTCCAAATCGTGTTTTAACAAATGGGATGAGTTATTCCAACAGTAGTGAAAAGATAAACAGCCTGACGAGAAGCCAGATGACCTCGGTCCCTGGAGTAATGCAGCTTCCAAGAAGCGATCTGAAAGCCACGCCTCCTCCTCCTCTTCCGAACGAGACACCGATGGCGCGCATCGGTCGGAAACCGGCCTATAATCGTACCCATTCAAACGCTCGCTCACTGAATCGTTTTGCGATGTCGGACACGGAGGGAGTGAAACCGCTCTCGGATAGCGGTTATGGCTCGCTTGGCTCGACTGATATATCCAGAAAGCGAGGAGAACGCTACGGATCGCAATCAGGAACGAGCCCGTCACGAAGGGGCACTGGTCCCCCAATCGATAAATCTTCCGTCTCGCATTCGACTGGCCATGAGTTGGTACAAAAACGAAGTTCATTGGATATTCTATTATCTGACGATTATTTGAGTGCGGATCCGATGGGAAATCTGACCAGAACCCAGGCTGTTAATTCCATTTCCGGTGATGGTAGCATTATTGGCGGCCGTTGTGGCGTGAAAGGCACCAGTCCACAGCATTCTGCTATGATTGGATCTGTTCGAGCCCGACACTTGTCTTTAAATCCATACGCTCAATTGCCACCACATTATAATGCAATGGAAAACAAATCAATCGATGCGTCACCGGTGGGTCCAACGAAATCTATTCGAAAGAGTGCTACTGGTGAACCACAAAGCATTCTGAAAAACAGTCAGTTTCGCTATAGCTTGCCACGAATGCGCACGAATGCACCCTGTTTGACAGACGTAGAATTCATTGATCATGCTGGTCCCAATACGTTCCCGTTACGAAATGCCAGCTCATATACCAGTATGGCGGACTCACTTGGTCCTCGACCACCACTCGAGAGACCTTTTGAAAAACACATCCGGACCGGAATCAGTCCAAAACGCATCGGTTCCCAATCAGATGCGGAGGCATGGGATTCGAGTGAAATATTCGGCCCGGTCAGTGGTGTAATGAAAAGGTTGCCCCCGTCTAACCGTGCTTCTTCTGTGCCCCGATCCACACCGAGAGAAGATGCGAGTGTGGTACCAAACACCACTTTGTCTGGTTATCTGGGTACCCAGTTGACAGACGCGACCACGAAGCCTCCAATGAAAACCGTCAGTGGTTTACGAAGCTCGGGCAGTGTTTCACGCCCGGGGTCAAGTGTTGGTGATCCGATATCCACGAGAGTTGTGCACAAAATTTCACCAAATATGGTTCGCATCTCTCTTGATTTAGGATCACCCCCAAATTCACCACCCACAGTGGATGCTCATTCCGTGGTTTCATGTCATCCTACGCTGACTTCTGGCGTAGGGGCCGCTGTTGTTGGGGCCCCAACCTATCCACCACGCCGATCGCGATTCACCCGGAGCGCTTCTCAACCGAATGAACGATTGCCACCGAAGGGCGATTTCATGGTGAAACCACCAAGTGCGTTAACACGATCAGTGGAAAAAACTGATTCACCTAGCCCCGGAGGATCCCCGGAGCGAAAATACATTCCCTTTAACAAATCAAACTCATCTGTCAAGTATTTAAATTCAGTCGCCTTGAACGGGTCGAATACAACACAGAGCACAGTTCGTGCTATGAGTCCCAGTGTACGGCCGGTTGTTGTGGATAGTCGTAGCGGTGAAGCAAAATCCCGACCGGGAGGAATACGATCCCTAGTTCCGTCGAATGGGATCCCTTCGATTGGTATGGACAGACCAATAACAAGCAGTCAAAGTGCCAAAACCAGTCCGACTCGCGCATCCGGTACTGGTCGTGGTTTGTCTACCTTGATCAGCATGGTAGGTAAGTCACATGTGAATCAATTGTTTAATCTCATCCTGATCAATTGTTCTCGGTGAAAATCAAAGTGTTAGGGCTTGTGACAAGTTGTCCACTCGGGATTGTTTATCGCCGTCCAACTAGGTCGTTGCGATTGGTAACAGCTTGCACAACTGTCGGTCGTTGTGTGCGATTATCCAACTGGGATACGGGTACAGTTATGCAGATCGCTGTCGTTCGGAGGTTTACTAATCAGGAGTCACGTAACTAGGAAAAAGAATGAAGAACAATCGTAAAAGCAACATAATCAACAACAACAGAATATCTCTAATCTGTTTTCCTTTTAAGTTGAATCACATGGATTTCCCGCTCACGCACACACAATAGTTTGAGTTGACGAACTGTGAATGGGGCTAATTGTCAGTTTAGTGGATCAACGCACTGTTTCGAACCGAAGGAACTATAAGCTAGGATTCCGTTAACAGATAGCTCTGTGAGAATGTATAAATCATTTGTTGAATTTCTCCAAAGGAATCGTATTCTGTTTCTGGCGGAAATCAGGGACTAAGATGATGCTCACAATTGTTTGCGGAAAATGTCAAAATCTGTTAATCGAATGTGAAAACCCTCAGAAACCTCCTGAATTGTATTGACTTAGGTATCGGAAAAATATGCTTTTGCTAGTCCCTTCGGTAATTTATATGAACTGTAGATGAAACATCTAGGATCGGTTGATTTGGAGACTCAGTTCGGTAGGATTTGAACTCACGCGTGAAAGCCAACCACGCTTTTCGTACATTCTTTTTCTTGATATATACACACACACATAATGGACCGAAAAATCTCCATATTTTATTGTGTTATATTAGGGAAGAGTGGAAAGCGTCAAAAAATAAACTATTCATAAATCGGAGTATATGTTTGGATTAGACCATTCAATCGTTCAGACGCATCAGGCAATGCTGGTTGTCTTGTGTATGGGTTTTGCTACTCGAGAGAGCGTCAGTCCTTCACTTTAGCTGATCGCATTTAATTGCGATGAAACTATGGTTGCAGTTCCAGTCCGGACAGGAAAAAATAATAAGAACGTAGTGCTGACGAGCCCCAAACAATATAAAACAGCTGTCCGGGACGCTCTTTGTCGGTCATCACAAATCCTTCCATCGCGACTATATTGATCGTGTGCTTTTCGGTAGTTTTGAACGGATACAAGAACGCGATTTGTCGCTAAAAGATAATTACATTTTTAAAGCCATAACTGGGGGTGCAAACAATAATAGCCACATTTCTATTTTGCTTTGAATGAATGATTAAATCTCGAACCTCCCTGTGCAAAACGGACTAAAACATTATTGCGTTCGATAACGGTCATCACATCGCGTACCGCACTGTTTCAGAGCATACAATTGACACTATAAGGCCACTGTTTGAAGTGATCAGCAAACATCATGCATGCACTTGCTGCCCCATACATCTGATCCCAAAACAATCTGTGACCTGTCAGGAAAGCCCAACCTGCACAGTAACATTTTTACCCGTCTATAGCTAGTGTCTTTACTTAAAATGCCAGTTGCTGGGTCAGCCACAAAAAACGTCTAACGGGAACAATTTTCTCCTCTACAATAAAAAATGCCCCTTGACTAAATTCTTTACCAAGTTGACTGCTTCCAAACATCCGTGGAAGCTGCGCTCGTTGACTGTAGTGCACAAACTGTGTGTCCCAATGCTTCGTGTGTCTGTGTGTATGCGTGTGTGCTCCATGTCATTTACTCAAATCGAATTGGAAAGCTGTGAATGAGATTACAGGACTCTGTTCTCTGTGACGGCTTCGTCTTAACTTGAACCGGATTTTGGCATGTTTTATTTGCCTGGATAAAACGTTGTTTTACTTACTGTCAGTGCAAAACATGGAGAATAGAAAATAAAGTTGCTTTCTCAATATATATCTGTCAAATCCGTCACGGTTAGAAATCAGAGTTGCTTTTTCGAGGGAGGGGGATAAGCTGTGGCAATAGTTTTGAAAATCTGCCCCCCACCCCCAGTTTTCTAATCCTTTTTTTTATCTTTCAGTCTGTAATCTACTGAACTTGAGAAGAACACAACTGTATCCTTTGGTATGGGGAAAATCACTCCAGTGCATCCGATTTTCAGTACATACATGTTGTCAGAAACAGACACTGGACATCTCAGAATAGACTGCAGCTACAACGCGTACTTGTTTGAGTGGTAACATTAGGTAATTGATACGGAAAAGGTGACAGAGTGGGTACACCGTACTATACCATGTCATATAAAAGAAACCATAAACGGTATAACGCATTGAACGAGGGTACTATAAGCAGAGGGGAGCTGGAAAACATTGAGGATGCAGAATTTAGGCTGGAAGCTTGAGAACCGAACTCAGATATACCACTAAGATGACTAAAATGATATTTGATTGGTCCAGAGCAGATTCTTCCAAATAATGAGCAAAACTGGGCATAGCAAACTGAATGTTTACCATGTAGGCTTATGGTTCAAATTTTGTGCCCTCCCGGTCACTGTCTCGGTTGGGATCCTGTATAAGCTCGATCGGTTCATGATGTTATCAAGACAAATTGAAATCACAGTTTTATTTGTGTATTGGATGCACATATGTTCAGTTTTTTGCCGGTCATGTTTGGACAAAAATGGATTCCTGCCAAAAAAACCCGATAAAGGCGAGTTTAAGATTGACAAAAGCAGAATCTCACAGTGTGAGGGTACTGAGGCACGCACGCATGTATTTTAAACCACGAGCCGATTCTTTTCGATAAGCGAACTCACGTCTTGGTCAAATATGAAACCGTAGATCTGTGATATATATATATATGGAGGTACTATAGTAGTATGCAGGATGGAAACCAGCTCTCGAAACACTGACAGGAGGTGGACTCCCGGCGAAGCCGTCCGAGCTCTTTCACCACTAGCGTCGTCCCGAAACGCCGTACAATCCCTAGTCACTCACTGACGCTCTCAATACACACATAGGATACACTCCTGACACTAGGTTGTCCATGGGGGGGGGCTTCCAAGCCATATGAAAAAGACAGGAAATACAACAAATTCAAGCATGAACCCAAAAGTCTAGTGAGGAGACATGTACACAACGCATACTCCAATCAAAATGGCTACCCGTGCTTTCATTACAGCCCGGCGAATCGAATTTAATACAGGTCACTTCTATGAGATGGGAATATCAAAGAAAGTAGAGCGCGAGAATGTGTGCGTGTGGAAACCGTG